ATATTATTTATTGTTTTTTCTCAGGGTACCATTGAGCTAATAGCAAAGATCAATACTTTTTTGGTCAACACTTGATCACTTATAGTAAAAAACGAAGGAATGTCTCTCCTACCTATCTAAAACATTTGAGAAGAATTTATCTACTTATTAGCCACCAAAGCTGTGGCACTTACAAATAATATGATCATATCTAAAATAAAATGTTATAGTATATTTTTTATTTACTTCAAACACAATTTCTTAGTTAGCAAAATCAAGTTCGCAAAATATTTTTCAATCATCGTTGAGTTTATTCATGATGTGTCGATTATCAACCAACATTCATCAATACATTCAGTGCTACTTTTTACCAAATAGAGAACCATTTAAGCGTTTATTATTTTCATTTCTATGCACAAATATGCTGCAGTTTCTGTGCTTGGAATCATTTCGGAAAAAGTGTGCATGTACTATCTTCTATATAGGTTACTTTTATTGAGCTTAATGGTGATGAGACTTAAAAAGCAAAAACAAAAGCATAGTTTTTCAAACTTTTTGCATATTTTATTATCTTAAATAATAAAATAACAATAAAATGACATTTTCCAATTCAATATCAGGAATGTATTACAAAATTGAGGAGGTTTATAAAAGTAACTCATTAATTTTTTAACTAATTGGTTTTTTACTCTATTTAGAATGTTTTCAATTCAATTAAGGTTTCAATTCAATTGAGTTTCAATTCATATAAAACATATTAAACACTTAGAGTATAAAAAACTATTTATTAAATACCTCTTTATCAATAATAATCTTTTTTTTTTCACTTTTATTTAGGTGCCCCAGGAAGTCCTTATGATCTTATCACAGAACATCACTGATGAGCATTTAATTGGAAGTTCGCGCCTCCTTCGTAACCGATGTCGCAAAACTTGCCCAGAGGTGAGGTTTGATTCATGGATCCTTTGTTTCTGAGGCAAGTGTGCTACCACTGCGCACGGCTGCTCAACTTAATAATGAACTCTAAAAAAACGCTACCGCTACCCAGGATAAAAAGTTTTATAGAATTTTTTATAAACTATAAAATTCTACTTTTTTTTTTTTTTGCAATTTCTATAGAAATTAATAGACATTCTATAGAAATTATATTGAGTTTCTATAAGTCATATGTTTCAAAAGTTTATAGAAAATTCTATAAAACTTTTTAAAATTAATTTTGTAAATTAATAATGAACTATTAATAATAAAAATCAAATAATGGATTGGTACATTATGTATATACTTTTTAACTTTCAAAACATATTCTTCGTTTCATTCATTTTGCAATTGGTGAGATACGTATTTTAGATCATTCTATTATCCAAATAAAAAATTGATTTCCATAGACATTAAAGATCTTTACATTTGCGACCTTAAAATACCAATGAGAGGTTTTTTTTAGTTTTGTTTTTCCTGTAGTTATTAAGGTGCTTCCAGAAGTTCTAACAATTTTATCACAGAGTTCACGCCTCTTTCTTTACCAATATCGCTTATTGAGCTAGAGCCGGCGTCAAACTAGGATCTCTTGGTTCTGAGCCAGAACTCTAACCACAGCGCATTTTATAACTTAAAGCTTGTTATAGGCCGGTGTAGGAGGTATGAAGTACTTAACCGGTACGGATCACTGTACAGTAATTCCTACCTGACGGTACCGATCACTTGACAAGTGATTCCTACGTAGGTGCCGAACACTGTACTTGGGTATCGAACACTTAACATTTTAATTTTCCCGTGTAAATGTTTTAAAAAGAGGTAACAAGCATGGAAAATAATACATAAAACGTTTGTTCGCTATAGTGATACATACTGCTATAGCAGTATAGTATTAGTTTAAACAAAATTTCAAAACCAAACGTTTAAAATTTAATATTTATCTCTTCTTTTTTGTATGTAGTAACTTTTTTAGATCAAATTAAGATTATTATTATTATTATTATTATTATTATTATTATTATTATTATAATTACTAGCAGTAAGCAACCCGTAATACGCGTTGTTAGTAAATAAAATTAAATAAAAAAACCGCGTATAGAAAAGCCTAGAAACTACTTTAAAATAGAAAAGCCTAGAAAATGACGTAACTCGACTAATAATAATAATAATATTAAATTAGCGTATTCATATTATCAGATTATTATTATTATTATTATTATCAAGATTATTATAGTTTATGATCAGATTTCAACATAATACATATTACCAAGTTTATGTTCAGATTTCAACAAAATCAATGAGAAAATATGTTTTTTTTAAAGGCCTAAACAATCAAGGCCAAGGCCAACAGTTTCAAGGCTAAGGGCCTTGGCCTTGAAACTAACTTTCAAGACTCCTTAGTTGTAGCGAAATCAACTAACTAAGGATAAGAAAAATATGAAATAAAACCACTAATCTATATGTCAACAAGGGTAGTAGAACCTCGTAAGCCTTGAAAGATAACCTTACGAATGTTAGTGAAAATAATAATACTCAATCCTAAACTTCAAAACAGGTCAAATTTAAGAAGGAGATCACGTTGTAAAAACTCTTCTGTAATGTTATTTAATTAGAAAAAAGAAGTTTTTAAAATTTAACCTAAATCGTTTTATAAAATTAACTTAATCCAATTCTTTTAAAAGTTATTAAAAATAAATAAATTTAAACTAAAAAAAGTAAATACTAAAAGCGTTTTCTTTGCCGTTAGTACATGTTACCTGAGTTAAGTGTTTGGTGCCTAGCCGGTAGGAATTACTGTACAGTGCTTTGCACCTAGGCAGCAAGCACTGTACAGCAGTGCATGTTACCTTCCGGTATGGCTTACTGTACAGTGAACGCTACCGTTAAGTAAATCCTGCCAACTACACCGGCGTCTGTTGCGTAAAAAGTTTTTTCTGCAACAGACGCTGGCCTATATCGTTTGTATTAAGTTAATAGAAACAAATTTATATTTGCGTATCATCTTAAAATTAGAGACACTTAAAAAAATATTTCTCCAAAATAATATTTCTACATATTTACTTAGCCTAATGTTTTAACTTTCTAAAATTGTAGATAATGATGATTTTGTTTTTAAACTTTACACTGATTTTAAACTGTTTTTTTTTTTATTTTTTTTTATGGTTATTAAAGTGCTCCGAGAAGTTCTTACAATCTTATCGCAAAATACCGCGGAAGAATATATAGCTAAGAAGTTTACACCTTTTTCCTTACCAATGTCGCTTATTGGGCTAGAGCCGGCGTAGAATCACGGACCTCTTGGTTCTGAGTCAGTACTCTAACCACTGCACCACCGCTGCATACGAGAATTTTAACAAGAATTTTAACAAATTTAACAAAATAGTAATTTTTTTCAAAAAACTACTCATTTTACAACATATTGAGATTTCGATCAACTGAATTTTTAACATACTGTATTTTCGATCGACTAAAATAGAATTTTTTACTCCTTTTTTTAACTCGATTTTGAAATTCTTTATTCTAAAAAACACAAAAAATTTAAAAATAAATTTAGAAAAAAAGTATGTTTCTGCATTTTATTATAAAAATATTGTTTTCTAAAATTAGCTTTAATTTCATTGCACATTTTCTAAAAACTAAGATATTGTCTAAAACATGTGCTTGCATTAAACAACTTATTTTACAATACAACTTTTTAGTGTAATCGTGATGGCTGCTGGGTATATATAGCTTTTATTTTGTTACCATTGAAGGTGCAGATCCAAAGTTTTTTTCAAATTCAAATTAAAGTAACTTACAGGTAAGTTCTAAAATCCAGATTTTAATGTCGTATTGCGACATTAAAATCTGGATGTATTGCCGAAAATTGGGTTAAATAAAGCCTGCAAACAAAAATGCTTTAAAATCAAATTATTTTTGCGTCGACCAAGCTTTAGCAAAGTACACTATTTGTTTATCTTTGTTTAATCGTTTTTCTCACTATTTTTCACTTTTTCTTGTGTAGCCTTCCTACTCTATTTTTTAGTATTCTTCTGATTTTTTGAGAGATTGTTAAAAAAAATTGTTTTTAAATAATCTATCGGTTTTAGTAAAACTTTAAATTATAATGGCACGAGGACCATAATTAGTCAAAATAATATAATAATCAGTCTTTGCGCAGTGGTTAGAGCGCTAGCTATGGTAGCAAGATATGGAAGATTCGAATCGAGCTCTGGGCATATTTCGCGTGATCAGAAAAAGGATGCGAACTTCTAGCTAAATGCTTCTCCGCGGTGCTTGGACAAAACTGTTAGGTCTTCTTAGGGCACCTAAAAATTATGTTTTAGGTGCCCCAAAGGTGGCTATTAAATTTATCAAAAAAACAAATTACATTTTATTACTAGGGGTTCTATAGAAGCATTTAAAGATCTCTCAGAAAGTAAGTGCAATTGATAACTTTCTCAGTACACCATATGTTAGATTATGATAGATCGAATATTTTCATACAAAGAAAAATTTTACTTTTACATATTTTGGTCTTTATAAATAAAATAAAATACAAATGGATTTCACATAGTAGACATTAACAAACAAAATTTCCGTTGGCATTCTCCATATTTGTAAGTTTTTCATTAGTTTCATAACTTAAGCCTCCAATACTCTATACAATATTCAATACAAAATTCTATACATTTAATTTTAAAGGCAATTCTAAAGTTGGATTTCAAGAATGTGATAGGAAGGCGATAGTTATTATTATTATTTGTTGTGGAGAAAGTTTGTCAATCTGCTTACAAAACTCTCCACAATTACGCCATTAAGCACAAACTTAAAACTTTTCAAAGATCTTTTTACAGATTTTTCAAATAGATTTTTTTTCTTAAAAAAAAAAAGAAGCAAATTTACTAACTTCCTAGAGTAAGTTTTGCGGACGTTAAGTTCGAATTCCTCTACTTGTTGCGCCGAAGTTTACTGATTTTTAGGGGAAAAATTCTTTTTGTCAATTATCAACAAAGTTTAAAAAAAAAATTGCCTAAAAAGGAAACTTTTATTCAATATGAAAGAAAAACTTTTATTCAATATTTGATATTCTAAATCAACAAAATACGGTTCCAACTAAATTTAACAAAAATGATTCAATCGCTTGGATTTGTCTTTATAACAGGCTTTACTTGTAATTCCCATATCTGAAATAAATAAATAAAAAGTATAATGCATATAAAATATAACTGAAAAAACTATTACTAACAAAAAATTAATTGAAAAAAAAAAGAAACAGAATCCTTTAAATTTAATAAATAAAAGCAATGATGACTATGTAATGCTGCTTTATAGGACTCGCTTCTTATGAAAAAGGCTAAAAATTAAACACCGACCTAAAATACTCACGCTCCTAAAAATTCTTGTTGAGGCTTTGCTCAACCAAGAGCTCAATCAATTCACATTTGTGTGTTAATACATAAATTATACGTTTAATCAACACTTGCGTATTAATAAAGAACTAACACGTAAGCGTATGCCCAGACTATGCATGTTTATTACACTGAATAAAGGCTAAGCATGTTTATCGCACTGGGTTGGTTCTAGTACCACTAACCCTGCTTGCATTCAACATCTTTGTCTTTTTAAATCTCTCATCTTGATAGTTTATTTGGTTAACTTAGTGACTCATTGTTAGACAACCCAAATTACTTCGCTCATTCCTGGTCATATTTTAAAAATCTGGAAAACATTTTGCAAAAAAAAAAAAATTCCGGTACTTATATTCCTTATATTTGTTTGAATTTTCCTCAATTTTTAGAAATTGCTTTTTTTAATGAAACTCTACTTATTTTAATGACTGAAAAAATTAAAAAACAAATATATTAAAAAAAACAAATATATTGCAAAAAAAAAAAAAAAAAAATGACAAAAAACAAATATATTGCAAAAATTTATATTTAAATTTGTATTTACGAAAAACGATTTGGAAACCTGGATCTCAAAAAACTAAAAAACTAAAATAAAAAAATAACCAGCATTCCGGATATATATCTGGAAAAAGATAATATAAATCTTCTATTGCTATGATTAAACTTTTTAACAGCTTGTACTTTAACATAATTCCCGTAGTAAATATATACCATGATATAAACTACAATTATGCAATGATGGATTAGCCATTTTTTAATTAGACAATTTGATTTCAATATGTAGTTACCAGTTTTGTGTTTTTAGGTAAATTATTAAAATGTTTGTGCTGCATTTAAAAGGGATTCTTTTTACTTATAAAACCACAAAAGATTTATGCTGAAATCTAGTATAAACCAATCCATTAAGTTTCATCAAAATCTGAGGCAGTTCATGTAGGATCTTGGTCAACCTGACTAATATATATAACCGGTTATATATATATATATATATATATATATATATATATATATATATATATATATATATATATATATATATATATATATATATATATACATATATATATATATATATATATATATATATATATATATATATATATATATCCACACATATTATTAGACTGGATTTTGATGAAACTTGGTAAATTAGTTTATATTAAATTTATATATATATATATATATATATATATATATATATATATATATATATATATATATCCACACATATTATTGGAAATTTTTTTTAATAATATGTCAAATATTTTCGAATAACAACTTTTTATTATCACAAATATTTACGGAATTATTTTGTTTAAAAGCTAGGATTTAAGTGTCAAAAAAAGATTATTGTATGGTGCTATTGCTTGAAGGAATTTGGACTAATGTCTTGTTGACAAGCTCAAAAACCTAAATTAACACCAACTATGGTTAAAAAACGGTTGAAAATGGCAAACAATTACAAAAACTTTGGTAAGGATGAATGGAAAAAAGTAATTATAAAAATTATATCATAAAATCAATTACACTTTATGCATTTACTCACATATTTTGAAGTTTGATTCTATTATTTTTTATTCTATGGGGGTTTTTCGGGTTTGCTTTTCAACTTTACAAGTGGTTCCCCAATGATGAAGAGTACATCTTTATGCACGATGGAGCCCCGTGCCACAAGACTAAGTCTGAAACTAGTTATTCCAAAGTTTAGTTATGGTAGGCAGAATAATTCTGTATGACCAGCCTAATACCCCTTTTTCATCTATTAGACTGGTACAGATGTAAACTTGTGTTACATTGTTTCCTGCTGAGAATGATGAATGCTGGATTTTCTTGACTCTACTCATACCTTTGCCTCCTTGATAGTGACTATGCAACTCTTTTTGTTATCTCCTAATAAGGGTACAACTCAAAAACTCAGTATAATGGTTCTGAGGCTAGCTACCAAAACACAAATCTTGACAAACAAGGCCGCTGCGCGGAGAAATAAGTTAAGCGCAGTACTATCAGGGACGTGGTGGGAATTGAACTCGGAACCTCTCGCTTATGAAGTGAGCACTCTACCGCTTCACCACTACCGCATTTTCCTGACAAACTTTAATTCCTTACCTTTACTCCTTAATTTGTGTTTTGTCTCTGAATCTAATTTTCAATTTTTCCTTGTTTTCCATTAGGTAATTGCAATGAAATCTTTTATTTTATATTTTTTCTTTGAACTTACCCTACCATTGCACTATTTACTTACCCTAAAGCTGACTGGTATTCTTTTCCAGAATCTCTTCGTGACAGTCCTTAGGCTAATATCTACTGTCTCTCTGCTGATAAATGCAACTCCTAAATAATCTAATGGTTTCCTGTAGGTATGGAAGCTTTTAGTCCTTCTCACCAGTTTAAAGTCAAACCTCATTCTACCTGATGATTTTCACCTTCTTGTGCAGCTGCTTTATCTAATCATAATTAATTTTTTCATCTTATTCACAAGAACAACTATCTTAGAGAAGCAATATCTTTTTATTATTGCAAGAAATTAGTGTAAAAAAGTGCTGTTTGATGCTATTCAATTTAGCAAACCGAGAATAATCTCCATTATTCCTAGTTTACTAAATTTTGTATCTTATCTCAGAAGTTAGGCTAAAGTTTTTTCTCCAACAGTGTCATTAACAAAGGTAAGTTCAACTTACCTTTATTTAATCTAATTTATTGGGTTAAGCCATAGTCTTCCTGCCGTTCTAGTTTACCTATTGTTGGATATCCTAATCACTCCGGCTTCTGCTACTAAAGTCATTTCTCAATTAAACTCTTCTACTCCTTTTGATTCGGACAACATTCCTGTCATAGTTTACTGTCAAAAGTGTTATTCAGAACTCTCTCCAATTCTCTCTGAACTATTTAATAAGTGCTTGACTGAATCTTGTTTTCCTGCCTGTTGGAAATAAACATCTGTGGTTGCAATTATTAAAAAATCTGGACAACATTCTGACCCCTCTAACTATCCTCTGATTAGTTTTCTCTCTTTTATTAGCAAGGTCTTTGAGTCAACTCAACTAAGGGGGACCTGCCCTACCCCGGCCCCCTAATTTTTTTCTAAAGAATCTTTTTTTTTAAAGAAATTTCTAAATAAAATTGACTTGCAACCACTGCAAAAACTTCTTTTTGAGACAATTGTGAAAGTTGCAGTTCTAGAAAGTTCTGAGACAATTGTGAAAGTTGCAGTTCTAGAAAGTTCTGAGACAATTGTGAAAGTTGCAGTTCTAGAAAGTTCTGAGACAATTGTGAAAGTTGCAGTTCTAGAAAGTTCTGAGACAATTGTGAAAGTTGCAGTTCTAGAAAGTTCTGAGACAATTGTGAAAGTTGCAGTTCTAGAGTAACAATCTTAACCAATTTTTAATTTTAAACACTTTTGTTTTTGTTTGTTCTTGATTGTCGATTTTCTTCAAATTGGTTCATATATATCTCTTATACAAGAGCACTCTTACCTTTAGCAGAAATCGAAACTTTTTAACATTATTTTCTAACATTTATTTATTTCTCGAGTAAAATCTCGAGTATAATACTTTCTGACGATCAGATTTTGATCTTCTCTTCAGACTTTCAGTTATTGCAATAACTAACTGTAAGATTGTATCATGCATTCGATGGAGGTGGCAAGGCAAGAGCTATTGCTCTTGACACATCAGAAGCTTTCGAAAAAGTTTGGCATGCTGGTCTTCTCCATATGCTATCATCTCTAGCTTCATCAACAAAACTTACTTTAGTTTGAATCATCAAGAAACTTCTAATGTCCAGGTCTAAAAACTTTAATTCATCTACTTTTTTTACTTGCACATTTCTCTCCCATCTTCATGTTTTCCTGACTCATACAACCTACAACTTTACAAGTCTTCTGTTGCCTTGCTCTTTAACTCTATTTTTTTATTTTTTATGTTTATTCACCTCCCCAAGGCCGAGAAGGCCACTACAGACAAGAAGGCTACTTAATTGTGGTTATAACCCTCTCTTAACTCTATAACTCTGAAACAAGAACTTTGACGAACAAGGTCGCTGTGCAGAGAAACAAGTTGAGCACAGTATTACCAGGGGCGTGGTGGGGATCGAACTCAGAACCTCTTATAAACTATTTAGCTTATAAAGTGAGCGCTCTACCACTACACCACTACCGTTATTAATTTTTTCTAGTAACTCCAAACGTAATAGTGTTTGCATGCAGCCTTGTTGGGAGTGAGTTAGTTGGAAGCCCTGTGAAAACTAGAAATAACTTTTACACAACTGCCTAAGTTTGCAATTAGTACAAATAATTCAATTAAAATCCATACCTATACTAGGTCAATAAATCACTGTGTATAATACAGTAACATTTGCAGCATTTAACTTTTAGTTTTGTAACTAATAATAAAAATTACCTGAATATAACTTTCTGATAAAGTAATCATAGGTGGTAAAATATCTTTTACATGAAGATCTTGCAGCTCATACCACTCTTTATTGCCCTGTAACAAAATCTTAAGTTTATTTTTATCATTTTTTGTTAACTTTTATTTGATTTATATAAGTTTACATTTGGTTTAAAAAAATATAACTTCAATAAAGATGTCAATACTGAAAAAAACTGATGACATCATCACGATGCAATATACATGAGATCTTTGCAATATAAAGTAAAAGAAAAAAATTGATGACAACTTTGCAATATAAAGCAACATAAAAATAAATGAATTAAAATGAATAAACAAAATGCTTTGACAAATAACCACAACTTATGCAATTTTAATATTTGTTACTTTTAAAACTATAAACTTTTAAAACTATAAACTTTGAATTAAAACTTTTAAAACTATAAACTTCCAGAAACAAATAAAAAATTAAAATATAAAGAAGATTTCACAAGTCATAACTGTCATTCTAGGATACATAGTGTGTTATAAGCATAATAAAATATTTCCTAAAGCACACTCTTTGTCAGGGAATTTAACTTATCTAAATATTATTTTTTTTTAACTAGGGCTTGAGAAATTTTTTTTATGACAAATGTTGACATAAGGCTCAATATTTATTGGTGAATGACTAAAGTCTTCTCTGTTTGTAATTTTTATATTGTAATTTACCAAAGTTATATCGTAAAAATTTATCACATGTTTATATAAACGTATATATTTATACTTATATTAAACACGTATATAACATGTCTGATATCATACTGAAACAAACTCCAGTCGGTGGTTTTAGTACATATACTTTAGTACTATCTTATAGCCTGTTGCTGCAATAGAGTGCTACTACATAAATTAAGGGTTTGGATGGGGTCCAATTCATTATTCTTAGTTTTTTTATTCTTTTTCTAAAAAAGCCGTATGCTTTAAAGATAAGCAAAATCAAAAAAGCACTGCGTTTGATCTTCTTCATTAAACTAAATTTTTTTAAAAATACTTATAGAATATGTTATTATTTTTCATAATATAACAAATAAAAAACAAAATTTTAAGTTTATAAGAAGCAACAAGTTTATAAGAAGCAAATTAGATTTAAGTCTTAAAACTAAATAAAATATGACAAAATTCTACAAATTAAATTGCCACTGAAAACAAGACAAACTTAAGTTCGTTTTGCTGTTCTGAGAAAAAGACATTTAAAGTTTTAAATTTAATCACTGCTTCTGATTTTTTTAAATACTACTATTTTTAAATCTACTTGTTTTTAGTTATTTATTCTATGTGTTAAATATTTTAAACCAAAAAAGTTTTTTTTCTTGCCAAAAAATGGACTTAAGATTAGAGTTTTATTGTACAGCAAGGAGGTCTCTTAATTATTTTTTTTTGGACATAAGATATTTGAGTTTTACTCATAATTGTAAAAGTTGAATCATTTTTGGTTCCATACTCTGTGAGATGACTTTTGTGCACCTATGGAGTATTTTAAACCAAAAAAGTCAATTTTGCCAAAAATGGACTTGAGAATTTTTGTTTTGCAGCGACGATAAATTTATATATATATATATATATATATATATATATATATATATATATATATATATATATATTCTATAATATTTTCATACTGCACTTGATGCTGTATTAAAACCAGTAAATCATCAGTGCAATGATTTTTAATTTTATTACCTATTATTTTAGTGACTAATTTTACTTTATTTCAAAAATTTTGAAATTAAATTTAAAAATTTTGGTTGATAAAATGAAAAATTTGGTTAAATTTTCTTTACTTCTTTATTTCCACTATATCTAGGTTGAATCATAATTCCAATGTCTTACAGTAACTAACGTTTACAGGTAAGATCCTTATCTTTGCTTTTTAAATTAAAATATTTAAATTTTTTTCTTTAGGTATATTTATCTATTATATCTATTATATGATAATTTATGATAATTTTAGCTGAGTTGATTTCAATATTTTTTCCAAAATTTTCTTGATTTTTGCACGAGTGATAAGTGAAAATATATAAATACTAAAGTTTATATAACAATGAAAGAATATTGTATGCCAGCATCTAAATAAATAGCAAACATATATGTTTATATCCATAATATGTATGCATAAAGTGCATCTTGGAAGCTTTAATTCCTTTTGGAATAATAGTTTGGAAGCAATTATTCTTTCTCTTCAAGTTTAAGTCATTTACTAACCTCATTCTACTCCACCTAAGTCAAGCCTCATTTACTAACCCCATTCTACTCCACATTTTTCACTATCTTGAGCAGTTGCTTTATTAAACATTAATCATTTTTTGAATCTTTTTTACAACCCTTTTACTCTAAGACAAAGTCTAAAAGCACAATGTAAATGTAATTAAACCTGCTTTATCTGCCAAGCCCGAGTCACTCTCCCATTGTTGTAAGGTTTGCTTTCTTTTTTTTTTCTACAAATACAATCATGGTCAATCCTCAAACGAGCTATTATCTCTATAACGATAAACCAAAAATTATTCTTGCTTGGCTATTTATTCAACAAGTTGCATACTTTTACTGTATCTGTCTCTTCATGCTATAAAAACCTTTATTAATTTTTCCTTTCCAGTTTTTTCAATGAACATCAAAAAAACCTTATAACTCTTACCCATCTTCATGTTATCCTTTTTTACAACTTACAACTTTTAAGTCTTCAGTTATATGTTTTTTTGTATTTTAACTTATTCTCTATTTTAAAGTAACTCATAACTTAATAATGGTTACTTACATCTTTTTGGAAGTAACCACTATTAAGTTTGGCATACATTTATATTTTTAGAGTTTAAAAATATATAAATGCCAGTATTTAATAAATAGCAAATGCAAGCACAAAATCACAACACATCAACAAATATAAATTTTTTTTCTAGCCCTGGCCATCAACCCCTGGAAAATCTTACAGTGTTTTCACTATTAAAACTGAGGCTAAAAGTAAGGAATTTTAGGAAATTTAAGGAGATATTTTACTAATATTTAAGGAGATTTGATTGCGAACAACAATTTTTTGAAAGAAAAAGTAAGGAGAATTAAGGAGAAAATGATTACATTAAAAACAGAAGCTTATTTTTTTCAATAAATTTGAAATATAAACAGAGAAATTAATATACTACTTTATATATATGTAAAAAATCACTTAGCAAAAATTTTTTTCATTTAACACAGTGTTTCATCAATAAAGACTCGTCAGAAAATTGATTTCTGATGAGTGTTTGTTGTTGATGAAACACAGTGTTAAATTAAACAAATTTTTGGTAAGTGATTTTCTACTACTTTGAGTATATATATATATATATATATATATATATATATATATATATATATATATATATATATATATATATATATATATATATATATATATATATATATATATATATATATATTAGGTAAAATGGCGGCAAGGACTCCAGAACTTCGAACTTAAATACAATAAGTTCTGAATCATTAAATCTCATGAATTTTTTTCTTATAACAGATCATAAGTCAACCAACATGTTTAGAGCCTCTTAAAACCAGAGACCACAAAAAAAAATAGATATAAAGCAGGAGTCTTTTTGGGACTCCGCATTCCTAATTTTGTTGAAAACTTTTAAACACAAAGTTTAAAAGTTTTCAACAAAAACAGTTACACCAAATAAAATAAAGGTAATTGGTGCAAGTAAGTATAGTATATGTTGTATGCAAAGAAATACTACATAAATTACTTTTTAATACAAATAACAGGTTTTTGACAAAGGCTTCTTTTTTTTTAATAGTATAGAAAATTTAAAAAAAGTTCTTCACAACTAAAAAATTATTATTCACACTTATTACTATAAAAATTTCATACAACAAGCAAATGACTTTCAATATTCTCAATTTAATAGTATGATTTTCATTTTATTTCTAATAGTATGACTTTCATTTTATTACTAATAGTATGATTTTCATTTTATTTCTAATAGTATGACTTTCATTTTATTTCTAAAAGTATGACTTTCATTTTATTCTAATAGTATGATTTTCATTTTATTACTAATAGTATGATTTTCATTTTATTACTAATAGTATGATTTTCATTTTATTACTAATAGTATGATTTTCATTTTATTTCTAATAGTATGATTTTTATTTTATTACTAATAGTATGATTTTCATTTTATTACTAATAGTATGATTTTCATTTTATTACTAATAGTATGATTTTCATTTTATTACTAATAGTATGATTTTCATTTTATTACTAATAGTATGATTTTCATTTTATTACTAATAGTATGATTTTCAATACTTAAAAACTACTAGACAAACTGTTCATGTGGAAAATTTTATGTAGGTGAAACAAAGCTCATGGTTTTGACACACATTTGCAAAAATCAAAGACATACTTTGGCGGAAAAATGGAAAAATTTGCCCATGGCAGGCCACTAAAAAACTTAGTTTGATTTTTTATTGACCAATTTTAAATATTTGATGGTTCAGATTTAATATTGTAAAATGATTTTGATCATACTAATGGTATATTAAAAAAAATTAAGTAAGTTTATTTTGGTACTTTTTCTTCCGCTTATACATCTTAAGTGATAGTCAAGTTTTAATTTTAGAAAATTACTAAATAAATAAAACCTTATGATGGACATGAACACGATATGTTCCCTTTCCAGATCCTAACAAAATAAAAAATTTTTTAAACATCAACTGAAATACTAAAAAAAAACAATTACAAAAAAAAAATTTGCTTAACATTAAAATCAGAAAAAAATTGAAAAAGTTTCCTGACCTGGTTCCCCATCATGAGAAATATTAGCTATAAGATCATAACAGGTATCCTTATTATTTTCAAGGACCTCTTTGTCATCTAACAAAAATTCTTTCATATCCAATCCTCTATAAAATTTTTATTAATTAAAAAAAAAATACTAATAAAAAAAAATTGTCACTTTCAAGGTTTTTTTAATCTTTCATACCCATTAACCAAATTAAAAACTCACTAAAAAAATTTTTAACAAAAAAAAATTTAAAAACTCACTTAACCGGAAAATTTACAACAGTTGGATTTTTTTCCACAAAGAATGTGTTGTTATTGAATCTCTAAATTAAACAAAAACATAAGAAAAAAAAGTTTTTTTTTATAAGTAATTGAGTGAAACAGGGTAAAATGAAATAGCGGGTGGAATGAAATAGTTATGACAATAATTATTCTTTTGCTCGTAATTAATTATTGGATAATCTTTTTGCAAATTTTTTAAAATCGCGTTGTAGAGAATACTTTTCTGAGTAAGGTGATATCAAATTTTATTTTTGATGAGAAAAAAATTTGATATAAATTTTCAAGTTTTCGTATGCGTAGTAAGATTTTTCTTATTATTTTGAAAAATGAACTTGAAACTCTACGAAGTTATATTTGATATCATTGAACTTAAAAAGTTTTTTGGTATAACCTTTTACACTGATTAAGAATCTTTTTTCAAAATTAAATTTGCTATTTAGGAATAAAAGTTATTAGTAAAAAACAGATTAAGAGAATTGTGGGGTTGAACGAAATATGCTAATAATAAGTGAAGCAATAACTCACTTCTTAAATGCGGCTTTTTAAATTAAATCTCAAGTGACCAATAAATCTCCAACTTTTCTGAATTTAAATGAATGACTTTTATTGACTGCTTTTATTAAATGATTCTAATGAATGAATGAAATATGCCAGTTACTCTCTTGTTAAATGCGGTTTTCATTAATTAATTAAGTCACAAGTGACCAAGCTATCTCTATAAATTTTGTGCATAAAGTTCAAATTAATTATTGTTAAATCTATTTTAATACAAAATATGCCTCGAAACAACTTGCATGCAAAGAAAAAAGAAAAACTATACACCAAAGAACAAGTTACACTTGCAGTGGTTAAAGTAAAAAGCAGTGAATTTTCACTTAACAAATCTGCTAAATCATTCAGCATACCAGTAGCAACTCTTCACAGGCGTGTCCACGACATAGATAAAACAATTGGCAGTAGTTCAAGCACGAGATCAAAACAACTTAAAACAGTTTTGGTAGATACGCTTACTACCAAAGCCCCAATTAGATAAAATTATCTGATTGGGGCTTTGGTAGAATTTACAATAACATCATCACAGTTACTGACTATTTGCAACACCAAGGTTAATCTCATTTTTTTCCTAATGGTACACCAGGAAGAGATTGGTATAACTTTTTCATAAACCAGTGGAGTCATAGGTTGAGCATCAGTGCCATAGGCAATATTTCATCCTCAGAGCCGCTTCTTGCATGCAAGAAATAGTCGCAAAGTATTTCAACACACCGCAATCAGAATTTAACATAGCAAGTATCAATGAAAATACTCCATGTTATTTGTGGAATTTTGATGAAATTAGCTTCTCTGGTGATCAAGGTAAGCAAAATATAAATTGCCAGCATGGTGCAAAACAACCATTGAAATTGGTTGGCAACAATCAAAAAATCCATTATACAGTTGGAAATTGCATTAATGCTGCTGGTAATTGTCTTGCGCCATACATTATTTTTAAATCAAAAAAATGTCTGTACAGAGATTAGTGTTTAAGTGGTCCAGATGATACCATATATGCTATATCTTCATCCAGATAGATGGAAGATAAGCAATTTGTGCAGTGGCTCACTAATGTGTATGTTCCCGCCATTAAGAAAATTCCAGGTAATTAGTTCAATCTAATTTTAGTTACCTAATCATATTTATCTAATTTTACATTTACAAAAGATTACATCAATCTAATTATAGTTATCTAATTTTAGGTATTCTTATTTTAGTCGTAGATGGACATGGAACAGATGCCACTTATTGGGTCATACTTAGTTGTATCGAATACAATATCTTGTTAATTTGCTTACCAGCACACTTGTCACAGCTACTGTATGTCAGTGTTTGTTCCGTTGTCAAAAGAGTTTGGCGCAAATTACTTCAACAGTTTTATGCAGAGACAAAGTTCAGCAACTTATCAAAAGAATGTTTTAGTCACCTGCAAAAAAAACTTTTCAGCTCTGGTGAAGTTTTACACATGCCCAAATGGTCACTGGATTTCAGAATACTGGCTTGTGCTACTCTAAATCAATAAAATCAATTAGTCAAAGGTGCAAATTGCTAATACTAGCACTAAGAATTACACTTCCTCACCCACTGCCCTTTAAATCTACACCAACATCTAGCATCAGCATATGTCACATAGCATCAGCTCCAAAGTCACCTCAAAAGTCACACTGCCTACAAACAACCTTCCATGTTGTAGTAACTTCAGCTAATTAAAATGAAATTCAAAAAGAGGTTGAAAAACAACTGCAATCAGCCCAATCAGAAATGTTTCGTATCCAACATGTTGACATAAAAAAAAGAAAAAATGTAGATGTGTCAAAATTCAAAAGGGAGTGTCTGAACAAACCTGAAATACTCGAAAAGTTAAAAGATGCTAAGAGCAAAAAAGTACCAAACCAAGCTAAAAAACAACATAAGCTTAGCTCTAATGGAGAAAATAAATAAACCAAGCAATAAATCCAAAGAAAATATTAGCTGCAAACCAAATTAAGTGTAAAAAGTGCTGAAAAGTTTTAGGCGAATCAAATATATATATCAAATATATCAAAATATCGATATATCAAAAGTCAAAATATGGAATGGTACTACAGCGCTTGAAATAGTTTTTTAAAGCTTGCCGATCAAATGTAATTTTTTCACAAAAACAGGTTATTATCCCTTAAATTTTTTGAAATTTCCCTAAAAATAATCATTGATCGTTGATCGGCCCTTATTTCGAGCGCTGGTACTAGTGTGAAAATTCAAATTGCAAGGTTTGGCTATGTCAAAGATGCATACCAATGCATCTTTGACAATGCATACCCCTAATGTCAGTGTAGAGTGGAATAATTTTATTTAATGAAATGTTTCATTAAAAACTAAAAAAGAATAAAATAAAATTTGATTTTTATATATTTAAATACAATATTAAAATCAATAATAAATTAATATTAATCAAAAAATTAATATTAAAATCAATATTCTCTACAACTTAAAAAAAAAAATTTAAAAATCTTTTTTCCTTAAAAAAAAATAATCAAAATTCTTAACTATTCCATTTGACCTCATTTTAATCTACCAAATAAACCAAATTTTAAATAAACCAAAATTTTGAGAAAAAAAAGCTGATTTTACATAAAAGGTATAAAACCTTAATAAAAAGGATCAAATATTTAGGAAGCTTGGTGAGTATAAACTTCTTTACAGATATTTCATTATATGTTTTGTATTCCTAAAAAAAAATTAATATAAAATAACGAGATCAGATAATTAAACCAATGATGTCTTAAAACTTTAAAACTTGAATAAAATTAAAAATTTATTATTTCCTTATTGATTTTTCTTTTCCTTAAATGAATCAATTACTTTTTCTTGGTGTCCATTGAACTTTTGTAAAAGATTAATTAGAGGAACTTGGGGGATTGCATTTTGTTCTAGTTCATCCTAAATGAGAAAAAAAAAATCATCTAATTTTTAAAATTAATAGAGTTAAATTAAAATGTTTAATAACTCCCTAAAAATTAATAAAAATGTTTAACAAATCTTGAATAAAACAGAGGCAGAAACATTCAATTTGAATATACAATTTTTTAATAAGTTTAAAAAAAAAAGCTGAAACATTTAATGTTAAATATAAAAATGTTTAATAAACCTTGAATAAAGGAGATGCAGGGACATCCAATGTCAAATATAAAAATGGTGATACTGATTCCTTTTCTAGAAAAACAAAAATTATAAAATAAGAGGAAAAGAAAACTAAAACAAAATTACTCTTTAAAATTAATGATATTTTAAAAATACCTTTATATTCTTCACTTTCTAAAAGTTTTCTCTCTATTTCTTTATCCTACCAATCATTTAGATATTGTTAATAAGGTAAATTGAAGTTTTTAAAAGTGTATAGAATATTCTTATAGAAAGAAAAAACATTTATCAACTAAATTCTTTAAACGATAATCTCCACTATTCCTTTAAATAATTTTAATTAAAATAAAGAAATTAAACAAACATCAGTAGCTGGAAGTTTTCTATAAAATTGCTTCATTTCACCACGAAAAGCTTTGTAAATCACACCTAAAGAACAAATATATACATAGATAAAAGAGGGTTCGATTAAAAGCTATAATCATAAAGATAAAAAAGGGTTTAATTAAAAGCTATAATCATAAAGATAATAAAATTAAAAACTGAAATAAAAAGCTAACTACTCACTACTCTTTGATTTTTTTGTTCCATTCAATGTAAAATGCAATGCGTTTATAAACCATGAAAGAAACTCAATCGGATCTCCTATAACAAGTTTTTAACTAATTATATATAAGTAATGAATTTCATTATTTTCTTTATAAAAAGTTCCCAAAATCAATTACTTTAATAAGTAAATAAATATCAATAACTGGAAAAAAAAAAAAAAAAAACTTTTCCTGCAATAAATCATTTTTGCTTAAAATTTAACGAGTTCAATTTTTTAATAAAACATATAAGTAAAAGAGTCATAACAATAACACAAATGGTGATTTTTGTGTAAAATAGGATCAACCTTAATATATTAAAATTGTACTTGTATTATAACAATTGTTGCATGCTTTTATATTTTTTCCATATGTAACATAATTGGAATAAATTAGAAATAATGAGGCAACATTTGCCAGTAAGTTAAAGGTTTTTTAAAATTGTTAATATATTTTACAATTTGTGCAACTGCTAACTAAACAAAAAAGTATACTAAAAAAATATAACCTGCTATCAAAAATGCTGACCAAACAAGAAAATGTAGAATTATTATATAAAATGTAGAACACTGTCTTAAACTTAAAGTTTGATATCAAAGTGTGAGACTTAAATCAACAATTAGATATGTTCTTTTATGATATCAATATTTCAAGTTAATTGTAAACTGAAGTTGCAACTGAATTATTCAACAGATGAGTTTGAACTTCTTTTTAATTATTATTATTTTTTTTACATTAACTTTTATAAAAATTTAAAAATAAATAAATAAAAAATTAAAAAACTTGTACAAAAATTTCAAACAAATTCTAACTGATAAACTAGTTGGAATTCCAGATAGAAATACTATCCAGTTCAAATTCAAAAGAAAATCAAAAGGATCAAAATCTTTAACACCTTAAACACCTTTTAAACACCTTTAATACCTTAAACACCCTTATTAAGTGAAAAATATCAAGAATATCTGACTAATTTTGAATTTTTATCTTAAAGGTTGTCCTTCAGTTGTTAATTCCAACTACAGAAGAAACTTATCTACTATAGTGTATATTAATAAGAAATTGTTACTAGTTTTTCCTATCTTTATAGCATATGACATTTCCAAAAAAAGAATAAAAAAACAAAGAATAATAAAAACAAAGATTGCTGCACCATGCCAAACCCTCAGTTGATGTAGTGGCACTCGTTTACAGCAGCAGGCTATAAGTTTATGTATGTACTAAAAAACAAAATATAAACATTTAGAACGTTTTTATTTTTATTAAAAAAACCAAAAAACATTGTGTGTAAATTTGTTTTTGTGGTTTTTTAAAAAACAATTAAATTTAATTAGTTTCTTCAATTAAATTTAATGGTTTTTACATAAAGCGTACTTGATTTTGTCACTTTTAAAAATGAAGAGTCGTTTTTTACCACAAAGGTTAAATTTAAACGCCAAACTATAGGAATAAGAATATTTGAAGTTTTGTTAATAACACATGTGTGTTATTGTTATAGTTATTATTTTATAGTGTATTATTGCTAAAATTTCAAGTTATTTTTTAAATAATTAAAATTTTTTTTTCCTATTATCTTTAGGTAGAGGAGTTTCTCATGATTCTTGCAAATTAAAGCTGTACACAATACAAAAGATAAAAACGAATCACTTGAATATAAAAAATGCAGAACAAGTAGCATCTGGATTGTTAAAAGATATTATGGAACATAAAAATAATTTAAATGTTGCCAACTAGCTGAAATCACTGCACAGTTGGATAAAACCAAGTTTTTTGTGCCAAAATTATTTTCATAGTTTGTTTTTTTTATTAGAATAGCTATATTTATATATAAAATGCATAAATAAAGTAATAAACATGTAATTATATAATATATATATAAAAAAGTATATTAAATTATGGTTAAAAATACAAAATATTTTTAATGGACAAGAAAACTTTTATCAGTGTTAACATCAAAAATATTACTTTGCAATGCATGTATTTGTCATAAAATAATTTTTTTAGGTTTATATTTACAGAACTTATATATTATAACAGTACTGAAAGATTTTGTAGGTATTCTTTGTGTACAAAATACCTTTTTTACATGTTCAGTATTTCTCATCAACTGACCATTAACTGAAGACCAATGTTTTGTAATAACTTTTTTTTATTGCAAAAAGTAGCAAAATATTTATGATGCATGGCTATTTACATACATTTAGCATTAGATTTACATAATCAAATGTTTGAAGGATATTGGAGGATTGTTTATCTAATACCTAATAATAAAAGTTAGTAGCAAAAAATATAAAGAAAACTGTCTGTTTTCAATGCGTAAAAACTAAAGATTACACTTACATTAAATTGTTTTTAAAAGCCTGAGCAAAAAAAACTGAATTAAAATAATATATTTATAAAATGAAAGTCAATAAAGTTAATTTATTACAATAGTAGCATAAGAAAGTTGATAAATAAAAAATGCAAAATAGCATTTTGGAACACATGTCAAATTCACCATATAAAATAACACTTAAATTAATATTTGATGTTTTTTTAACTAGATATTTCCTCTAATGAACATGTTTTTACCATTATTACAAATTTTTACCATGCAATACCAACATTGATCTTTTGGTATTTTGACACACTCTGTCAAAATACCAAAAGATCAATGTGCGCTGTTGCAGTTTGAGTAAATGAAAATAAGTTGAAAATAAAGAAAGTAAATCAGATCTCATTCTAAACTATTATGAAGCTATCAAATGTATTAGAATTTTTTAAAAATAAAAATAAAAACTATGTTCTACTTTACGCAGGAATCTTACTGGTGTAGAATCAAGCATAAATATAAAAATGACTGAATTGCAAGAAACTATTAGATACTTTACATAAATATAAAACAGAAGATTTTTTTTATGGTGATCAGATTATTGTTGGAGATATAGTTTATGTAAAAAATACAACAGAAGTTATCAAATTTATTATTGAGGATGAGGTATTGATATTCTTAAAGCAATGGAAAGAATATCTATAGATGGTGGTCAAAATTTATTAAAAGTTATAATTAATGTTTATAATTCAAAAAATCATTATTCTTTATCCAAAATATATGAAGATTCTGGTGTGAAATGCTCTATACTCTTGCCATTGTGGCAATGGTTTACAATGGTTTACAGGATAACAACAGTTAAAACATTAGTTGATATTAATCTAAAATTAACTTGAAGAAGTTAATTTTAGTCTAGCATTTGGTCTAAAATGTACTAACAGTGATTTTGGAATTTCAAGCCATTCTGACAAATATGCTTAAAATACTATAAATGTTGGCTCCATAGAATCATTTTACAGTCAATATCTATGTAATGTAAAAAAAAAAGATTAAAAATGCGGGAATAAAAATGTTATAAATCCTCATTTACTATACTATAGAAGCTCAAAAAACTTTTCTTGAACACATTGTTTATCTACCTGAGCTCCATATTATGTTATGAGTTATGGACAAACTTTGTATTTTGTTTTTATATATTTAGCCAGCTTTCTAAAACTGGTTAAAAACAAAACATACTATAGAGAGGGTACCACAGTGTTAGTTTAGATGAAAAAAAAGATCATGGATTTATGTCCCTGTTATATGTTTTGGAAAGGGGTGTTACCTTAAATGCAACAACTGATATTTTACTGATAATTAATTGTTTGCATAAGTTTTTAAAAGTGAAATAGCAATGTTTAGTTTGGAACTGGGTACAGATATTTCTGTTAAAATTTAAAACTTTATAAGTTTATTTTTTAGTCTCTAACTATATAACTATATTCCCTTTTTAGAACACAATAATATTAACTGAGGAAACTACATGGAATGTAGTTTCCTCAGTTAATATATAGTGATGCTATTCATTTTCAAATTTAAAAAATCTTACATGAACTATAAAAGTACCACAAAACACAAAAATGCTAAAAAAGCTCAAACCTGCTATTCTAAATTTTAATTGAAACAAACAATAATATAAATATCTTTTGTGTTTTAAATGTATTCTTTATGTTTTTTTTTATATGAAATTAGTACATGCTGATAGCTAATTATGACTACCATAATGGTTGACTTTTGTAAAACTATGTCTTAATTTTGAAAATATACTTGTATATAAAAGTAAAAGTAATCACTTTGCACTTTTTTGTTGTAAATCTTTCTGATAAACAGAGAATAATTCTTACCGTCATTTCTTTCATATTCTGCACATTCTAAATCAACTTTTTGTTTTTAGTGTTGAATGATTAAAACTATTAGTAACTACTGCTAATAGGTCATTTTTATTTCATTGATTGCTCACAACAGCCTCTAATAGTATTTTCCTTTTAGTAATTTCTAGTATTTTTTTTATTGATGCAATAACCTTTCATTAAAATCATAATAACTACTGTTATTATATGAGATATTATATTCATTTTATTGTATACATATTATAATCATGAGACATTAGCAGAAACAACTTTTACTTCTTGGTGCATTAAGTTCATATATATATATATATATATATATATATATATATATATATATATATATATATATATATATATATATATATATATATATATATATATATATATATATATATATATATATATATATATGTATATATGTATATATGTATGTATATATATATACATACATACATAGCCTGATGCCAGGGACTTCAGTATACACAGTATCTATATTATTGCCTGCTGCCACAAAGGAGTGCCGCTACATTGACTGAGGATTTAGGATGGGGTAGCAATCTTTTCTTTCATTAATCTTTTTTTTCTTCTTTTTCTGAAAAAATCCTATGCTATAAAAATAAGCAAAAACTTGTAAGCTTTTACCAACCTGATTTTTTGATGATATGCTATAGTAAATAAAATTATATACATATCTATAGCAATTTATTATTCTTATTACTTTGATCACAAAAAAGGTAATACTTTATTCCACAATTTTTATTTTAATAGCAAACTTATTGCTGTTAATGATTTGTGCATGTTTGACACAGAACTCATGGCACCCCTTTAAGAGATAATGGAGATAAAAAGTCTTTTAACACTCGTTTTATAGGAAAATGTGGCAAATATGTAAGTTTTATAGATTTCTATATCTAACTAATGTAAACTTAAAATTATGCAAATGGTAAAGATTGTTTTATGGTTTAGAGTTTTTCCAAATTTTTTACAACTAAGTTGAGTTTGTGTAAAGAAAAAGGGTATATGTATATATAATATCTACAGTATCTAATATCTATAATATGTATATATAATATCAATAGTCTAGTTTAAAGATGTTTTGTATTGCATTAAAAAAAAAAAAAGAATTAAAAAAAAGAAAGCTAACAATTTAAAGCTTCCATGCGCCAACATTACCTATTTTAAAAGCAGAAAGGGGATCTCTTTAAGGCCATCTTTCTGCTTTTAATAAGAATTCTTTTTTTTAAAAAATATAAGAATTTCTTTAACAAGAACAATGTTTTTTGTTTTTTTTATAAATAGAACATAATTAAAAATTACAATTTTACATTTAAAAAAAAAATATTTTATCAAGTATTATACTCCATTTATTATTTATGGGCCAACTGAGATGCTAAAACCTAAAAATGCATGAGGCATTGCAGATGTGCACATGATTTTCAAATCTGGATTTCTAAATAAATCTTTATAAACCCTCTAAACCATAATTACAAAATATAATTATGAAATATACTTTTACTTATAAAGAGTAAGTCTTTGATGTAATTGATTTTAGTCTCTGATGTTTTTATTTGTTTTTAGAATTACTGAAGTTTATTTTGTCATGGTGTTAAGTAATGAAGTATGTTTTATTTTGCAGATGATGTATTGAAATTGTATCTTAACAGGCTGTTTACATTTAAAAAAGCTAACAATGACCTTATTTTAAATAAAAGTCAGTGGTTTTTTATTTTTTTTTGGTTTTTATATAATTTTATGTTAGATGTTCAATTATGTTTTATATAAATTTAATTATTAAGAGTTACTGTCTGGTAGTAATAACTTAGAGGAATTTCTAAGGTTTATTTTACTTTTTAAAACTTTATATAAACTTTACATATGCTTTTTTTTTGTTGCTAAATTAAAATTTTTTTTGTTTAAATATTTAAAAATTAATAACAATTATAATTTCTATTTTTATTTTTAGTGCCACAGTTAATCATAAGTTGTAGGGTTTAATTAATTTATAGTTAATCTTTATAAATTAATTAAACCCTACAACTTATGATTATAGATTATATGATTTGTTTAATTTATAACTCTTAAACTTTTAGTTTAGTAGTTTGTAAAATCTTAATTATATGAATTTATACAGTTACTAATACTAATAATGCAGATTTTTAAAATAAAATTTGTTTGATTAGTTTTTAGGTTGTTGTGAAGTTGCAGCTTGTATTTTTCTATTTAGATATGAAGATAATAATGAATCAATAAGCTGCCAATGTTACATTTAAATGTATTATAATTTTTTTAATCAATATTTTTAATGAAATTACAAATAAATATGATATGAAAATTTTAAATAACTTTATTATTTATTATAAAAGATTTCTTGTTCATTATAAGTTTATTATAAAAAATTGTTCCTCATTATAAGTTTATAAAAAGGGTGTTGCCTATTATAATCTAAATTACATTATTTTAGTTGTGTAATTTCAGTTTTTATTAATTTATTTATGTATTTTCAGTTTGAATATGAAGATAATAACTGGAATAACTGGATAAGAACTGGTGCCAGCAGATTATTGGGCACAATTAGCTTAGACAAAATTAGACAAAAACCTGAGTTTGTTAACAACCATATTATGAGCAACAAGGCCCACTTCCATCTAAACAGTTATGTTAGTAACAAAGGTTGCAGCAAATTCAACAGTAATCCAACATTGCCTACATCTTATAAAAGTAATAGTTCAGTGTGATGTACATGCAGAATAAGTTTTTGGACCTTCTTTTTTTTGAAGATGATGCAGAAAATAAGCTCTTGTAAGAAGCTGTTCAGAGGAGTAGATTGCATAGCTTGTCATGTTTATTTTCGAAGAGCTTTTCTCCGCTCTCGTGCTTATTTACTCCTGCCGATGCCGGATATATTATTTATTTATATATATAGTATATATATAATGTGTATATATATATATATATATACATATATATATACATATATATATATATATATATATATATATATATATATATATATATATATATATATATATATATATATATATGTATACATATATATATATATATATATATATATATATATATATATATATATATATATATATATATATATATATACCGATGCCGAATATATTATTTATTTATATATATAGTATATATATGTGTGTGTATATATATATATATATATATATATACACACACACACACACACACACACACACACACACACACACACACACACACACACACACACACATATATACATATATACACATAATAATGATAATAATAATATGTATAAAAGTATATACAAAGCTCTAATAGTCTAAATAATTAAATCAATCTTTATAAAATACATTCAACAGCAAAGAATAATAAACTGCCAATAAAATTTTAAAATCACCTTGCTTTGTAAACTGAAAACGTCTATTACTACACAACACAACAGCCTAAAATTTAACTCATCTATTAAATTAAATACATAAGATTCATTTTTTTTTTAAAAAAAAACAAAAATTTAAAACAAAATTTCATTAAAAAGTTTTGAAAAAAAAAGAATAACTAAAAAAAAATATCTGTGTAATATTCATATGGATTAGGGAGGGGATTGGATGGAGGATTGGATGGAGGCAAAAAGCTTACAAAATGACTTAAATTATTGGCATGAAAATGTTTTTACTGAATGAAATAATTGTCTTATCTGCCAATCTTGTACAAGAATAAAAAAATAATAATGGTAAATAATTTTATTAATTTTTTAAATAAAACAACATTTGCATAATGAACTGGATTTGATTATTTTTATTTTTAGCATAAAATATGTTTAAAACAAGATTTTATAGAAAAAGGGATACAAATTTTAAAAAAAGCTTTTTTGTAACAAATACTATAACTTTTACTTAAATAACTATTTCATTAAAAGTTGTTTTTGTGTTGTGCTGAATCACCAAATAATTCTTATTAAAATGGTAGAAAATTTTGTTTTTAATTTTTAACCTCATATAAAACTTTGTTATGGAAATATTATTTTAGCCTATATGTTTATTTTTATGTTTATGATGAACTTTTAACTAACTTTTAAATTAATTTTTAAGTATATATTTGTATTTGAACCTAATTGGAAAACAACTAGATTCCTACTTCAACTGTGTCTTTGTTATATTTAAAAATTGGATATATAGCTAAAATAATGAGTAGCTTCGTTCCATTCCAAAGAAGGAGTTTTAAGTTAATTTTTATTATTATTATAAAAAAAACAACGTAGACCTTTGTTGCAATATATAAAAATAAATTTCTGATTTTATCATTTTAATAGGCGAGTTTACTGCAATTGATACAAAGTATCAATTATATATATTAAAATTAAAAATATTATTACATTGAGCTTTAAAATTGCGTTTCAAAACTGAATTTAATAATATTTACTAAAGCTCTTCACCAAATACCTTACTGCACATCTTTTTTATACTCTGTAGAACAACAACTTTGAGCTTGGAAGCTATATTAACATACTTGGTAAATTTTACTTTATTTTGCTTGTTGATTTCTTTGTTTTTGCAAACTTTGCATAAACAAAGAAATCAACATCTCTCCATTCTTTAGCAATAGAACCATAACATTTGATGGGGATATAACTCCACAAATAAAACATTATGCCCATATTTATACATATATAATTACAGTATATATGCCCATAGCTATACATATACCATTACACTATTACATATACCATTACACTATTACATATACATTATATATACATATATATATATATATATATATATATATATATATATATATATATATATATATATATATATATATATATATATATATATATATATATATATATATATATATATACATATATATATATATACATATATATATATATATATATATATATATATATATATATATATATATATATATATATATATATATATATATTTTTTTTTATTTTAATTCACCTCCTCAAGACCGAGAAGGCCACTACAGAAGAGGAGGCTACTTATTCGTGGCTATAACCCTCTCTCAACTCTATAACTCCGAAATACGAACCTTGACGAACAAGGCCGCTGCGCGGAGAAACGAGTTGAGCGCGGTACTACCAGGGACGTGGTGGGGATCGAACTCGGAACCACTCGTTTATGAAGCGAGCGCTCTACCACTACACCACTACCGCATATATATATATATATATATATATATATATATATATATATATATATATATATATATATATATATATATATATATATATATATATATATATATATATATATATATATATATATATATATATATATATATATATATATATATATATATATATACATATATATATATATATATATATATATATATATATATATATATATATATATATATATATATATATATATATATATATATATATATATATATATATGTATACATATACATATATATATATATATATATATATATATATATATACACACGATATACTATAGTTATATACATATATACATATACTATAACATATATACTAGCCTGTGTCAAAAAAAAAAAAAAAAATTTCACATTTGATCCCAAAAAACTACATTAAAAGTTTAGAACTGTAGGACAAGTCCAATAAAATTATGTTGATGTTTTTTAAAATAAATCGTCAATGGTCTACCAGATAGAGAGCTTCCTACCATTGAAAACAGTTTAAGGTTATAATACTTTACTTGATTTTACGCTTGAAAATACATAAATCTGTTCTCTTTAATAATCATATTATAAACCAGGATCTTCATATAAACAGTAGCCTTCTGGGATTAGTCTGTATTAGGGCGACAAAAAATAAAAAATAAATAAAAAAGCTGCAGTACATTTTTTGGTTCTACCAAACTTCAGGAGTCTACAAAAAAATTTTTAGATCCCTTAGTGATCAGTAAGAGCTACATGTAAATATGAAAATTTTACGTTTCAAGCCTTTTTTATTTCTATGCATTATTTTATTATCTTCACATCACTTAACAAGTTTTTTAAATGTGTGTGAAAAACTCAAGATGTTTCTAAAACATTTGTGGTTATTTACAATAATTTTTTAAAAAGTTTAATTGCAGCATAAATTTTGTGGTTTGCGTTTAATCACTTAGCAACTTTTGATTTATTAATTATCTTACTTTAAACTTTGATTTTTTTTTTACTATTTACATATCAGTACAAAATGTTGAAAATCAAAGAGAGGAAAACGAAAGAAATTAGCTATAACGCTTGTAGGCCTGTTTACCTTCTTAACTTGTCTTTAAGCTATTTACCTACAAAACAACTTCCATCAAATAGAAGTGTTCTTTAATATTACTTGTTCCTAACTTCAGCTAGAGATAAGCGATTTAAACCTATTAAAACAAACTTTTCATGTTCTCGAGTAGGAGAGGATGTTATATGCAAAGGGAAAGACAAGTTTTGTATTTCAAATACCGAAAAATTCTGTTTACTCTGACAAATTGTAAATATTTTAAAGTTTGCTGGTTTCAGTAATTACTTGATTTCTGAAAGAAGTATAGTGGAAAAGTTTAAATCTCTAAACAGCAAATACAAAATTTTGTGCAAAAGTAAAACCTTTCAAATCAAAAAGCAAATTTCCGAATGCCACAAAAACGACTTTTACAATATGATAGAGCAATTGTTTGACATCAGTGCAAAAGACTTTAAGATGAAGTTGATACACGATGAATAAATGCCTTGAATACTTCTGCTTTACTAGAGGATTTGACCTTCTTAGACAATCAAAGGTATTTTTTGCGAATATTATATATAAATAAATAATATTCAACCTATTTTTCAATTATGACAATTTTTTCCAAAAATAAAAAACTTTTTTTTTGAGAATTTTTTTTTTTATTCAAATTTATCTTATGCTAAGTGTTTTAACAACTTTTTGCACAGAACTAACAGAAATATGATCATATCTTCTAAAATTGACACAGAGCTTGAAGCAAGGTTTCAGAAAAAGATTGATACATGCAAGAAGAAAGAAGAATACAAAGTTCGAGCACAGAAGAGCAACAATTGAATAATTCATGATAATAAAGAGGAAATTGGTGAAAAAACGCAATGGAATCAAAACTTTTTTCATAACAATGATATAGATTTCAATTTCGCAAATGAGGAACCTACAGAACCTAAAAAAACAAGAGCTGAATCACAATTAGGTAATATTAAAGTATAATTTGTTTAACACATAAAAATATTTGTTTCAACTTCTGATTAAATTAAAAAAATAGAATATAAACAATTTTTTCTAATAATGCATGGGCATTTTAGGTTAAACTCTATTTGAAGTCTAAAAAGTTTGTAACTAAAGCACTAGAACATGAAATCTTCCTTAGTTATGTAAAAATAATATAAAATGAATTAGTTTATCCATATATATACTTTTTTTTTTAACACATTCACGCCGGCGTGTACCACTGGTGGTACACACTAGACTGTCTCATTGGGTGGCGTGTACCACTGGTGGTACACACTAGACTGTCTCATTGGGCAGCGTGTACCACCGGTGGTACACGTGGTACACGTGTGCCACTGGTGGTACGCATGGTACGCGTGTACCACTGGTGGTACACGCCGCCCAATGAGACAGTCTAGTGTGTACCACCAGTGGTACACGCTGCCCAATGAGACAGTCTAGTGTGTACCACCGGTGGTACACGCCGGCGTGAACGTGTTAAAGGAATATAATAAATAAAGGATACAAATAAAATTAGGAATATTTTAGAAATAATTATAGTAAATGTAAGGTTTATGGCCTATGCAATATACTTTTTAATGCTTAATATGACATCCACAGTCATCGAATATCCTCTCCTGAAAAAAAACATATGGTTTCAAAGGTAGCATTTATTGTTGCTATTTATTATGGACCTGCCTCTCTTAAATCAGACAACGCAGAGCATGCTGTTCTAAATGATTTTAATGCATTCAAAATTGCTTCATAACCCCATTCTGTTTTAAACAATTAAAAAAGAATGGGATTATGAAGTTAGAAACTTATTTCAGAAAAGCATGAGTACCCACACATAGTATTTGTCTGCTAAAGTTGTTGTACTATTGTTAGGAGATCCTCATATGAAAGCAGATGCTAAGCATTTAACCATTGAGAAACTTTTAAAATTTCCAGTTCCTGGGTTATCAGAGATTTCTGTAGAAGCTCTTTCTGCTGTTATTGTTACCAGTGATAGTTGATTAGAGGATTTAATTATGAAGAAGAGTTGGCTTTTTTTATACTTTTTTATATACAGGTCACACCGAATCTGTTTGAGAGTGGCATGCTTCAAGTGATTTTTCAGCGCTAGATTTATACACACATTTTACCCATTTAGCTCGCAATCTTAGTGTGACCAAGTTTAACTGAAAACTTTTTGTAGGAGCTGTGAAAAAAATTTGTTCACAGTTCCCTCAATGAGGATCAGAG